ACAAGAAGAGTTGACGTTAATGATTCACTAAATTTCAGATCACTTCTCTAAAAAAAAAATCACTAGACATTAAAGTGATCAAGATATGATTGCACAGTTGAATAACAAGGCTTTTATGAGGAAAGGGGAAAGATAAGAGTTCAGACAAGGAGAAGAATTATCAAGTTTTTTCTTTAGTTTTCATTTCAGCTATTAAAAACTAAACGCTCATTTAAATTTTAATCAACTTAATATCCACACTATGTTTAATTGTTGGATTCTCGATGGATAATTATCCTTCAGGATGAATCGGTCTATCTTTACTTCAACATAATTAAAAAGAACACTAGCTATTTTTACTTGTATTAGAAGCAATTTTCCTCTCATAAAAATGCTCAAGAAAGCGTCCTGTGGTTGACTACAGATGGACTCAGACGGCTTCTCTATTTAAAAGTAGACCCCATTCAGTTCCATCACAACCTCTGAGGAAGACCAGCAGGCTCTTCTTTTAGCTTTAGAGTAAGAGTAAGGCTTTGTGATCTCCCTGGCGCTGCACAGTGGCAGGACTTCTGTGCTTTTCCTCTGGGGGATTTGCTGATGCAAAAGGACATTTTCATTCAGGATTTGTCACTTTTAAGCCCATTCTTTCTAGTTTGCCAAAGTCGGTTGTCTTCCTCAAGCGAAAGTACTCAGCGAAATGGCACTCCAGGAAAAGCACCCAAGTATGATATCACTACGGCATTTTCAACTTTTGTGTGAATAAACACTTCCACGTAGGGTATACAATCTACCAGACTGAAGAGCCTCTTAGGAAACCACTCACACGGAATGTGCTTGTCTCTCCGTTCAGTCGGCATCTAATACTTTATACACACAATACATCCTGAGAGTTCCTGGATCCACCAACCAGTAGGCAGTTGGCTGTTTTCACATAAGCGCTCTGAAGTATAATAATGAATCGCAACACACACGTGCAATTGTTTTTTGCCTGATATTACCTACCATAGGAACCCTTGAAATGGACCCCTTTCGCTGCCTTGACGACATAGTTCGCGATTCTTCGGCCTTCAGGACAGGCTCACAGCATTGTCTCTTCAGGGAGCTTCCAGGTTTTCAACGTCTTGCCCAAACTGCATCCTTCTTCCCCCTTATGTTGGGCTCTGGAAGAAAGCAGTCCTGGGTTCTCTGCCTCTCCAGTCTCCAGGAGACAACTGTGGGTATACAGCTGCCAATTTAACTTTACGTAGAATAAGCAATTTGGGGATTTCAAAGATTGCTTATTTTGTATGCATTGTTTTTTTTTAATCTGCTTACAGATGCTGTGATTCCATGAATATTGTTTAATAAACATTAAATTGACTACTACTCTAACAACATACCCAAGGAAACAACAATGGAAAAAAAAGAGCTGTGTTTACAATCGCCGTAAATGAATCATTCATCACGGGCATTTGGAATCTGTTCCTAGACAAGCAGGTGCTAGACTGTATGAGTGTGTGACTGTGTGCGTGTGTATTTTAAATAATTAAAATTTCCAGATACAGAAGTTTCAAAAGACATTTTACATTCTGACAAGGTAAAGGCAACTACAAGATCAATATGGAAAAGAAAGTACAGGAAAAGAAATCACCTATTTTTTCAAAATAAGCAAATTATTCCAACTAAACAGAAACATAAAAAAATGTTCAACTAATCATTCATTTGGAAGGAGATAGCACAATTAAGTGATCTGAACCCCAAAGAAATAGAGTAGACAGAAATTGAAAGTGTTTTTAATGCAAGTAAGAAACATTAGTTAATTGGATTTTAAATTATGGAAGGATTCTAGTCTCATAGGAATTTTCCATATTAAATCTCAAAGTGGGAGAGAACAGGAAGTGAGCCTCGGAAGAACCTAGTCTAATGACATCAGTAAAACACTCTTGCTCCAAATAGCTGAACATTTCAGACACTGAGGAGGCTAATATTTTATCCACAGTTCATCTCAATACTTTGCTCTCTTTGTTTTTAATGACCAGATTTTTGGGGTCTCATCTTCCCAATAATTTTATTATACTAAAAACTTTTACTAAAAAGATTCAACAGAAGGTGCTGGCTGCAACTGTGTTCTTGGGTTTGAAAGCATCGAGGCTCCTTCTAAAGAGTAAAGATTCTTCATTCTAGTGTGCGAAAGCAAATTGTAAATCAGGAAAAATATTCCTCTGAATGTAGGCTTTCTTTTATTTTTAGAGAAAATAACAGGTTTAGACTGGAATTATTAAAATATTTACTAATTGTTTCATATAATATTCTTTGATTGCAATATCCGTCCTATTCTTCTTGGACATGGTGCTGGTCCTGGAGGGTAGGTGATACATACACTCAGTGTCACTGCTCTGAAGAAAACCGATCATCTCTTTCCCAGAAAGGATCAGTTACAAATGGCTTCTTGGTTAGGGGTGTGTCCCCTTGCCCTTCTCAGAGCAGGGATTTTTGTCTTACTGAATTTGTTTGGGTCTCGTGTGTGCTGTCATAATCTCTGTGGAATCCTACATACGATTCCTGCTGTGTCTGGAAGATGCTGTTTCCTGGAAGTCATCCGTTTCCTCCAGCCCTTAGAATCTCGCTGCCTCCTCTTCTGCATAGACACGCGAGCCTTCTTTGGAGAGAAGTGTGCGGTACAGACATCCCATTTAGAGCCAAGTGTTTCAATGTCTCCCACTGCTTCTTGCCAGTTGTGGATCTCTTTGTTAATCAGGAAAAAAACTTCTCGGATGAAGCTTAAAGGATGCTACTGCTCAACAGGGAGTATGTCATTAGGAGCAATTCTACTCTTATCGAAAACGTATTTTAATGTATCTTACTTTATTACTTGAGGGAGATGATATAACAGGATTTCTTGTCCTTGAATGTTTTCTATATTCGTGAGTGTTTAAATGATTTCTTAAAATAGAATGTTTAATTTGGAATTCCTTTTACACTGTTAGAAAAACCTCTGCTGGGTTTCTGGATGAAGATGGACACAAGAGACCCATCGCCACAGCAACCGAGCCTTAAAATAATATCACGTTAGTCACAGGGAACACGATGTAGGCCGCCTTTAATATTTCTGCTTGCCCTCTGTCACTACAACTTTATGTGCAATCTGCCTCCAAGTTGAGTCTATAAAAATTATCTTCCTTTCAGTTTGCGAATTTTTTATTTTCAAATTCATGTTTAACTTTATCCCAGTAGAAGCTACCTGATGGCCTCTGCTGATTGTGACAGTTGTCAACTGTTATTCAAAGTGAAAACTATAGCAGTGAAATGACACTTGGTGAGAAATGACTTTGCACGTAACAAAAAAAAAAAATCCTTACAGCTTATAGGAGTCTCTACAGTCCAAGCATCCTGGGGTTGGGGACCAAGCTATTATTAACACGTGGGGAATATGAAAACCTCAAACTCAGCATCTTCTTAGGGCTCTCCTTTGAAATTCAATGATGTGTAACCAATTTTCTTTCTAAGAAGTCAATTCAAATTTTGAACACTCACATCACATTTTCAATACATCCATATTTTCTATGGCACATTTTCTACCTGAGCTGCTCTCCCCAAAGAACCCTCTTCTTTGTTACTCTCCAAAAAGGACATTTGGTAAGCTCTGAAGTATTTTTGGTAATCATAAAATGAATGACAGTCGCCACTTCCATCTACTGACTGAGAATCGGGGATATTGGTAATCGTCTAAACTGGTAGCCCCCAATCTTCCCAATAATTTTATTATACTGAAAACTTTTACTAAAATGTAATTAGTACAAAGATTGTGACACCCCGCCCTAGTTCATCTGTCATTATGAATATTTCCTGGACACATATTCACACCCAAAGACCTTTATACTTGCTGCTTTCTAAATGTGAAATTGATGCTGATACCTGTGCATACGCTACTCAAAAATCTTTCAAGAATCATTCCCCACTTCATTATATAAATTCCCTTTCTCTGTCTCCACCACACATTCTGGATCCTCGTTATTCTATTTTTTGCTTTATTTTTCTCTGTGGAAACTTGTTGCAACTTTCATTAATTTTATTATTAACTTAACTTATTAATGGTTTGATTCCTTCCACTAAAGTGTAAGTTCTATCAGGAAGAATATTTTATCTGCTTTCGTCACATATCCTCTCTCAAGTTTTATAATAGCACATAGGAAGTGCTAAAAGAAATGTATTCTGAAATGAGGGCTCCAAAAACCTCAAATGTTCTTAAATAACCCTGACCTATGTGCCCATCTCAAAATTTCCAAGAGTTGCATCATCAAGCCAAGTATTATCCCAAACGCACATTGAAGTGACGTATTCAAATGTTGTAAGTTTCTATGGTAAATTACACTTAAATGTTTACAAGAATTGAAATAGTAAATAAATTAATGACTTGAGACATTGGACAATGGATCTGAGAAACAAGGCGTGAGATCTTCAATAGATTTACTTGTTATTGGAATCATTACGCAGGACAGACAGACAGACAGACTGCTCATTTCCTCTGGGGAGTTTTTGCTTGGAACCTCATGGTTATTGACAATGGATAAATAATTCCATTGTGAGATACACCTAAAGGCCTTCCCAAATGCTGTCCTATAAGGACAACATCTCATCTGAGTAGTGGTCATAACCTACATTCCTTTGTGTCTCCTCCCTTGATAGATTTAAACAAAGGACATGTTTTTAAACTATCTAACGACCCTTGACCTTTGTTTCTCTACTGAAGTCTACGATAAGCCAATCTTAAATACTGATCCCATGTTTCCCTCTCCTCTGTCTTGTTCTAGAGTGTTTTGGTTTTCTAAGATTATGGGTATTTTTCAAACAGAAAGCACCTACCCTACCATGAACTTGGGAGAGAAACAGGAAAATGAAAGAGTAAATCAGTCGTTATTGTTTCTCTTTCTATACAATGTTGAAGAAGTACAGATCAATGTGGTGTTTGTCTTTTGGCCCTATCATGAGATTCTCTCATTATCTTGGGTGGTGATTTATCTCTTGAGAACAAGTAAAACAAATGGCATGTACAATTGTTTTAATAGTTTTAAATGTGTACCACATAGCTCTGTATATAACGTATTGTTAAAATTTCAATATTTAATATCATTTCTTGAATAATAGATATCTAGAAACGGGGTGTCAATCAAGAAATAGAATAGGAAAAAATGTATCAGAAAGCTAAAATTCTCCCCAAAGATGTAGACATGAAATAATTACACATGGAGTATATTTGCAATGATACTTTTTGTTTAGTGAATTCACCATGGTATCTGTCTGTCCAAATGATTTATAACCCAAAATGGGCTTCATTGCTGTATTATTTGCTCCATACAATATTTTGATTTCTCCTGTTTTTAAAGAAGTTAGTTGCCTTTGCTCAAATGGCTGTTTCACAAAAAATCCTTCCACTTTTCCAGACAAAGGAATAACTCTGGTAAACATGAGTCAGCAGACCCATACCACAGCAAAGCTAAACTTCTCAGTGATGGGTATTTCCTCCATTCCCAATCAGCTCTCCTCAGTTTGCCTTGCCTTCAGATCTCCTGCATGGGCCATATCCTCAGTGAGTGTTCTTTTACCACTTCTGTATAGCTTAAGTGCAGCTCTTTTTCAAAACTCATATAGAAGAGAAATACTTAAACTTTCATTCTCCAGATTACTTTACAACCTAAAAAAACAAAAACAAAAACAAAATTTGAGATCGCTGAAGAGTTTTGGTCTTTGAGATCATATCTGCTCACAATTTGTGGCATAGATATAAAAATGGAAAGATGCTTCTTTATCCTCATTGCCCATTAAGCATACATATTTTCATGAAAATTGGGTTTTTCCAAAATTAGTACACATGTGTATCACTTTATTATCAGAGATTTTTTAAATCTGCTTCTTCTTATGATTTATTCTGATTGGTTGATTTCATTGAAGAATGTATGAAAAAGTATTTCATCATTTAGATAAGTATCTGGGGGAAAATGAATAGTATTTCATTCCCTTTCATAAAATTGAAATGGGTTTTGCTTCCCTACTGTGTATTGAACAATGAGCCTCATTCATGTTCGGTAAGTGCTCTACCACTGAAATACACTTCCAGCTGTTGAATATTCTCTACTAGTACAGCAGAACTTCAGAAGTGGTATTCTAAAAGACTGACTGTGTTATAAAATATGGATTCACAGCAACATTTTTCTATGCTTGGTTTCATTAAAATCAATTGGTGTAGCATATGTTTTTAGGATAGCCTGTGACCATGCATGCCTTAGAACATACTGTATCGCTTATTTGTAGAATATTGTTTTGGTGACCTTTATGGATCTGACACATCTTATTTTGAAGAAATTTAACGTAAAATATTAGATAACATTTGTTAACATATTTACTGCTTTTATTAGAAATGCCTAACTGAAAAATAAAACCCATTCCAAGCCTTGAATTTTCCCATTGTTATTAATTAAACACTGCCTGCTGATTTTCTGGAAATAATGGACTTATTTTGTTTACTTTCAAAAGAGTCAATAACCAGACTGCCATGGCGATTTCCATCCCTGGCAACAGGAGCCAAGGTACCCTAGCAGCCTAGTCTCCTGCTTACCCCATGTGACTAAGACTATCAGGGCCTGTCTCCAGACCACACTCCTGTGCCTGGGGTCTACTACTCAGGCTCCCATCCATCCCAGCAGGATCCAAAGTACCACAGCATCCTAGTCCATTTCTCCACCCACGATACCAGGAAGTGGAGAGCTACCAGAACAGTGGACTTGCCTACACCCACCAGAAGGGAACACTGGTCCCACACCCACCAGGAGAGGAAGAGGCACCTTCTGGAACCCACTGTAAGAACGGATGGGAAGAAGACAATATAAAAACACAAAGAGCAACAGAAAAACCAATATGACACCGCCATAGTCCAGAGACCCTACACCAGCAAGACAACACAACACAAATGAAGCAGAAGAGAATGACATTAAAAACAACTTCATGAAAATGACAGAGGCCCTCAAAGAGGATATAAGAAAATTCCTTAGAGAGATGAAAGAAAAAAACAATCCAAAAAATGCAAGAAGTGGAAGAAAAGACAAAGCAAAAATTGCAAAAAACAATTCAAACAGTGCAAAGGCTGAAATCTGAAATAGAAAAAAAAAACACACAGTCTAAAGGAATGCTGGAAATAGAAAAGCTGGGAAAACAGTCAGGTACTACAGATGCAAGCATAACCAACAGAATACAAGAGATGAAAGAGAGAATCTCAGGTGTTGAAGATACACTAGAAAAATTAGATTCATCCACCAAAGAAAAATTTAAGTCCAACAAATCCGTAACAAAAAATATCCAGGAAATATGGGACGCTGTGAAAAGACCAAACTTAAGAATAATAGGTATAGAAGAAGGTGAAGAAACCCACCTCAAAGGGGCAGAAAACATTGAACAAATTATAGAAGAAAACGTTCCCAACCTAAAGAAAGACATGCAAATGAAGGTACAAGAAGCTTACAGAACACCAAATAGAGTGGACCAAAAAAAAAATCCCTTCAACACATAATAATCAAGACCCCAAACATACAGAATAAAGAAAGAATATTAAGAGCAGCTAGGGAAAAAGGCCAAGTGACATATAAATGCAAACCTATCAAAATTAGACCTAACTTCTCCATGGAAACTTGGAAAGCCAGAAGGTCCTGGATAGACAGTCTAACAACATTAAGAGACCACAGATGCGAGCCAAGACTACTACACCCAGCAAAGCTTTGAATCAATAGAGATGGAGAAAACAAGATGTTTCATGACAAAACCAGATATAAACAATATATATCCACTAACCCAACCCTTCAGAAAATTCTGGAAGGAAAACTCCAACCCAAGGAAGTTAACAACAACCAGAAAAACATACGAAATAGATAATCCCACTTTACCAACAGGCAAAAGGAAAAGTGGTGGAAATTCACATACAATTCCACTAACAACAACCATTCCAAAACAAATGAAAATGAGCTATCAATGGTCATTAATTTCCTTCAATATTAATGGTCTTAACTCTCCCATAAAAAGACACAGGCTAACAGAATAGATTCGAAGACAGAATCCATCCTTCTGCTGCATACAAGAAACACACCTCAGCTTCAAAGACAGATGTTACCTCAGAGTTAAGGTTTGGAAAAAGATTTTCCAATCAAATGGACCCAAGAAACAAGCAGGGGTAGCAATCCTAATATCTAACAAATTGGACTTTAAACTAAAATCAATCAAAACATATGAAGGAGGTCACTTCATATTCATCACAGGAGAAATCCACCAAGATGAAGTCTCAATTCTGAACATCTATGCCCCAAATACAAAGCCATCCACTTTCGTAAAAGAGACATTATAAAACTCAAAGCACATATAAAACCTCACACACTTGTAGTGGGAGACTTCAACACCCACTCTCACTACTAGACAGGACCACAAGACAGAAACTTAACAAGGATACGAAGGATCTAATAGAAGTTATGACCCAATTGGGTTTAACAGACATCTATAGAACACTCCATCCAAACACAAAAGAATATACCTTCTTCTCAGCGCCACACAGAACCTTCTCAAAAATCAACCACATACTTGGCAACATACCAAACCACAACAGGTACAAAAAATTGGAATAACTCCATGTATCTTATCAGACCACCATGCTTTAAAGTTAGAATTCAACAACAACATAAATCACAGAAACCCTGCAAACTCATGGAAATTGAATAATGCACAACTGTACCACTCCTGGGTCAAAGAAGAAATAAAAAAAAAGAAACTAAAGACTTTCTAGAATTCAATGAGAATGAATACACAACAAACCCATACTTATGGGACACTTTGAAAACAGTGCTAAGAGGAAAGTTCAAAGCACTAAGTGCCCACATGAAAAAACGAGAACAGCCACACTAGAGAATTAACAGCACAACTGAAAGCTCTAGAACAAAAGGAAGCAAACTCACCCCAGAAGAGCAGACTCCAGGAAATAATTAAATTGAGGGCTGAAATCAATGAAGTAGAAACTAAGAAAACAATGCAAAGAATCAATGTAACAAAGAGTTGGTTCTTTGAGAAAATCGAGATAGGCAAACCTTTATCCAAACTTACCAAACAGCAGAATATGTACATGCAAATTAACAAAATCAGGAATGAAAGGGGGTACATAACAACAGACACTGTAGAAATGCAGAGAATCATCAGGTCATATTTTGAAGAGCTATACTCCACAAAATTTGAAAATTTAAAGGAAATAGACAATTGTCTGGATAGATATTACTTGCCAAAATTAAATCAAGAACAGATAAGCAATTTAAATACATCTATAACACCTAAGAAAATAGAAGCAGTCATCAAAAGTCTCCCAACAACAAAAAAAACAGCCCAGAGCCAGATGGCCTCAGTGAAGAATTCTACCAGAAATTTAAAGAACAGCTTATACCAATTCTGCTCAAAGTAATCCATGCAATAGAAGCAGAAGGGTCTTTGCCAGTCTCTTTTTATGAGGCTTCAATAACCTTGATACCCAAGTCACACAAAGACACAACTAAGAAAGAGAACTTCAGACCGATTTCCCTCATGAACATTGATACAAGAATACTCAACAAAATACTGGAAAATCCGATCCAAGAACACATCAGAAAACTCATCCACCATGATCAAGTAGGTTCATTCCAGGAATGCAGGGATGGTTCAACATATGAAAATCCATCAATGTAATCCACCATATAAACAAGTTGAGAAACAAAAATCACATGATAATCTCATTAGATGCTGAAAAAGCCTTTGACAAAATTCAACACCCATTCATGATAAAGGTCTTGGAGAGATCTGGATAACAGGAACATACCTAAACATAATAAAAGCTATATACAGCAAACCAACAGCCAACATCAAACTGAATGGAGAGAAACTCAAGGCAATTTCTCTAAAACAGGAACAAGACAAGGCTGTCCCCTCTTCCCATACCTTTTTAATATTATACTTGAAGTTCTAACTAGAGCAATGACTCAACAAAAGGAGATCAAGGGGATGCAAATTGGAAAGGAAGAGGTAAAATTTTCACTATCTGCAGATTATTTGACAGTTTATATAAGTGACCCAAAAAATTCTACCAGGGAACTCTTACAGCTGATAAACACCTTCAGCAAAGTGGTGGGATACAAGATCAACTCAAGAAAATCAGTAGCCCTACTATATACAGATGATAAAATGGCTGAGAAAGAAATCAGAGAACATCACCCTTTACATTTTCCACAAACAACAAAAATGCTTTGGGGTAACGCTAACCAAACAAGTGAAAGAACTGTATCATGAGAACACTGAGTCTTTAAAGAAATTAAAGAAGACACCAGAAAATGGAAAGATCTCCTATGCTCTTGGATAGGTAGGATCAATGTAGTAAAAATGGCAATCTTACCAAAAGCAATCTACAGATTCAATGCAGTCCCCCTTAGAATTCCAGCACAATTCTTCACAGACCTTGAAAGAACAATTCTCAACTTTATATGGAAAAACAAAAACCCAGGATAGCCAAGACAACCCTGCTCAACAAAGCAATGTCTGGAGGTATCACCATCCCTGACTTCAAGCTCTACTATAGAGCCATAGAACTAAAACAGCTTGGTGTTGGCACAAAAATAGACAGATAGACCAATGGAATAGAATTGA